ACTTTAAAATTATTCTTTAAGAAAAATATATTAAAATAACCTTACATGATTTCCTCTGAAAGCATTTGTTCTTTGTTTTATAGTTTTAGTGTCTTTAATTCAGCTGCAATTCATTTTTATATGGTATATGGTAGGAAAATAACTATACCGTATGCATAGCATTTATTTTAAAAGTCTATCTTTGCACTTCTCTCTTAAGCCACTTCTTCCATAAATTCATTTCCACAGCATTGGACCTTTGTTCAACCCCTGTTGTAATACTAGCATCATAAGGGAAAGGATGTTATAATAAATCATTGTGTCTAATAGGACACAACATTGATGACAAATGTAACCAAAGCTCCTAATTCTCTACACTTTCCCTCTTTACAGTGCAAGGATTAGCATGTTACTTTTTCAGCAAATGACTCCTCAACATCTAGTTACTGTTAGTTTTGACTTTTATTTAAATATAAAATGTCATCAAAATTATATAAGAAATAACTTCATAAGTTCATCAACATATGTTATTCATTTTTGCTACTACTTTTTCTTATGTCCCTTGCCATTCTCCTGCATTTAATTTTCTCTTACTGAAGTCTTTGAATTTTAAATTCACTTATGAATTATTTTCTATTTTGACCTAACTCTTGAATAATTTTGTTTGTTTGATAATTCTCCTTCAGCACTTTGAAGATGTTACTCCATTCCGTTAGTACTGGTTTGGCATGTCAAATCTTTGATAATTTTTCAAGTTTCTCCGGTAGTTTACTGGATGTTCTCTGTAGTCTCAATTAATATTCTGAACTTGGAAATGACATTCCAATGTGAATTTACTCATAATTATCTTGTTTGGTGCTTGCATAGCACTTTCCATCTGTGACTTGTGTTTTCCTTCAATTCTCTGAACGGTCTTAATTACTGGCTCAAACTATCTAGTTTTTAAAATTTTAACCATCCTGCCATTTTTTCTTCTGAAATTCTTATTGGAAGCATTTTCAGCTTCTTTTTTCTGGTTTTTCTTAAATGTTCTTTTAGACTTGTTATTTCCTCTCTATCTGTTCTATAGCCTTGAAAGTTACCTTAATTCCACTGAATAGTTTTTAATAGACGAATTGATTGTGTCCATAATTTAATTTAGTTTATATTGTCCATTACATTTTAATTTTATTTTTGTAGACCATTCTATCATGTAAATGTTGCTATTATTTTGTTACTTTCGTAGTGTTTATATTTATTTTAAAAGATGATATGACTGTAATGTACAATTAATTTCATCTGAAATAAATCCATGTTGTGCTGCTGGTTATAGAGCATTAGATTTCTTCATGAGCTGTAGAGTTGTATTTTTCAGAGTTTTTCTGAAAGAGTGGTTCTTTGTTTTGTCTCTGACACTCGGACTTCCTCCTATGTTTCCTCTTTCTGTCCAATATATGTACAAGTGACATATTTCTCCCCCAGAGGCCCAGTGTTAAAGTGGCAGTCCAAATTTATGTATCCATAGTGACATCTGGAATATCACAGATTATATTCCAAGATGACAGATGGGCAGGTTAGTTCAGTCTCCAATTGTGGAACTGTTCCCCGTCTCATTCAGGCCCCTGGACCAAAGCTTAACATAAGTGACAGTCCCGGGAAGAAACGGAGAGCAAGTATTACCAGACTCTTTTTGTGCAGGAGGAGTAACATCCAGAGGATCTTCCAGCTCTAAGTTGGCTCTGCTTCTGCAGTCAAAGCAGGAGAAGCTTGAGTCCTTACTGTGCTGCCAATGCCTACTTACACATGTAACAAGCCTCTGGCTTCATGTAACCTCACCACTTTGCATATCTATTCCCTCTCTAGTCCACAGATATACGGACCATCTATTCAGCTCATCTCTGATGTTCTGTATTTTCTCTTGTGCCTTATCTCCCATAGTTAAATAATTGGAAAAGACGGGAAGCATCAAAGTTAAAATACCATGAAATCTTCAAGTCTCAGTATTGAGTATTTTTCTAACTTCATTAAAGTTAAACTAGAAGAACATAGACAAACAAATCACTCTCATCCAGTAAAAAAGAAGGTGAATTAGAAAGCAAAAGATAAAAATAATTAAGGTTTGGTCTATGTTAAATATTTAAAGTGGTTGCTTGGACCATGTCCTTTTAATTTTCATTTTATCCTTGTACTATTACAAACATTATTTTGCAAAACACAACAAGAAAAGCCTTAAAGAATAGTGAGAAATTATGTAACTTTCCTGAAGTTGCCCAAATAAAAAATGGTTGATTTGAAACCAATGACTCTAACTCCAGAGTGAAAATATAATTATGTTACTGCTTACTCCTTGTTTTACTTAAAGTAGCTCTATAATCCTAGAAATGTCATTTGATTTGTCTGTTATTTTACCTCTCATCTGTAAAAAGAGATAATTATACTAAATCATTTGTAAAATAGTTTTCTAAATTCATTATTTATATTTTAAATTAATTCATACTTCTGTTTACTTCCTTTTTCAAAGTATTCCTGTACATTTGTTTGGGAGCTGAAATGTTTGATAAATATCCCAATTTATTTTACAACAATTTCTGATGACATATTTATCTATCATTAGAGATATACATAGAATTTTACATATATCATTATATGTATAGATATATATGAAAATAAATATATATGAAAATATCCTAGAAGACAGAGCAAACTGAAAAATCATAAAACTGCAATTACAATGTCAAGCAAATGTCAACTCAAGAAGTGTGAAATGTCCTGAATATGAATTTAATGCTAATGGTGTTGTATGAACAGACTTGATGTCTGATCTTTATTCAGCCTCTGACTCAAACAATAGTTTTGAATCTCAATTTCTTTGTTTTCAAAATAAGATGGGTGTTTCCTTTAAATTTTTATACAGATTTGCAGTACATAATGAGTAAATTCACTGTGGGGAGTTGGTAATGCCCAGGACACATTTTAATTCTCGTTAGATTTTTATGTTCCCTTCTAACACACTCTTAGTGGACAAGTGAGAATTTATTAAGATAATTCGGTGGACCTGTTAATGAACAGACCAACAAATCTGGACACAGTGGCTCATGCCTGTAATCCCAGCACTCTGGGAGGCTTAGATAGGAGGATCGCAAGTTTGAGCTCAGCCTGGGAAACTTAGTGAAAGCTGTTTCAAAACAAAATTTCGAAAAGACTGGGAATGTAGCTCAGGATGAAGGCCTTGGGTTCAATCCCCAATAACACAGACACACGCACACACACACACATACACACACACATATTAATTTATCCCATTAATGACAAAACGCTTGGGTTAAGTTACTTTCTTAATTTGTCCCTTGATATCTATATTACTTAGATAACAGGAAGTATTCCTTTCAGATTGTCTGTTTTAGTTTCTTTCTGAGGAGTTACTGATTTTAACTTTACTCTTCCATGAAATGAGGTTAATCACAATTTCTACTTAGAACAATGCTGTGATGATTAAATGAGACGGAAAGGGTACTGCATCTAGTACATAGATATGTGATCACTATTTATTTAGTAAAAATGGTACTCGATTATGTAAAGGATGTTTTAAAATTAAACTGTTCTAAGTAGCTTAAATACTTCTATGTATTAATTAAAAAGCAGGTATTTGCACCCCATGAATAACTTAGTTACCCAAGAGAGTAGGTTGTGATCAGGGAAAATGTCTTGTGTTTGTTTGCATTAAGGTCTCATACTCATGCCTACATGTATTCATTTGATGGAAGTGATAATTCAGTATTGTTCTGTGAAATGTATCACCTAAAAACCATAGGCAAATGGAGAGAATAATACAAATGAATGCAAAGCTTTAACTTACTTGTAACAGAACTTCATGCTCCATGATCAGGTTGCATTTGTCAGTAAAGAGACACAGCTAGGAGCTAAACTCCTAGAATTGCCTCAAGGAACTAAACTCCTAGTTTTCTCTAAACTCCTCAAATTGCCTCAAGGTATGGAGAGTGTATATGTTCTATGACATTTCTTTCAAAATCTATTTTTCTGTCCTTTGGGCTGAAGTGGAAAAGGATACATTGAAACATGCTAAATGGAGGAACAAAAGATAAATGACTAAAATATTATAATGAAAGGTTGGTCTTGTAAACACCTTTAACAAAAGTGCATTTTTTACATTATAAAGATGTTTTAGGTAAATGCAAATTTTGTTTGAAACATTAAAAGGGGAGAAGAGAAACAGATAAAACTAACAACCCGGCCCAAACTGAAAGCTATGTCTGCCGTTTAATGTAATATATCTAGTTTAATTCCTTTGGGCTACATCAACATAAAATTCAAATTTGCTTGCATTTACCTAAAAATTCAAACCACCTAAATTCAAGCTTGCTAAAAGACCTGAAGAAACCACAAAATCTCTTTTTTCAGTTTGTTAGCAGTGACCTACCTCAAAGAGCTCAGGAAGAAGTGATGCTGGAAAGTGTTTTGAAGATACAAATTGCTATAATTATCTTTGAGTGTACATATCATTAAACTACAATGGATGTCAATAAACCAGCATGAAAATACCTCCATTATGCACAGGACATAATTATGAAACCGAAGTGAAATAGTTTCCTTTACTCTTTCAACAAGTGTAATTTGGACTATAATTTTCACATTTTATCTGTATACATGAATTCAAATACTATTTCCCTGCATTGAAACCATTCTTCTATTTTCAAATGACACTTAGATGCTGAAATAACATGCATTTTAAGCCAAACATCAGCATTTTGCCTCTAAGGAAAATATAAGCATGGTAGTGAAAGAAGAAAACTGTTTTGATAAGATTGAAGTGCAATAAACATGATAGGGTATTTAGAAATCTCTACAAGGCAGTTAAATTCTAACTACTTCAACATTTTATTTAGAAGCACAATTCCTTAAAACATTTAGAATCTTTTGACTCTTCCTGTAGAGATAGTGTAGTAGAAAAAAATATATGTAACTCTCAGTCACTCATGTTGATTGCTGTTTTTAATGCACTTTTCCCTGTGCGTCTACTTCACCTTGTCAGAGAGTACTGCTTCCCCAGGGCCGCCCCAGGGTCCTGTTGACGTATTGCTCTAATTGCAGTCGGTGCTGTAAACAACGCAGCAACTCCATGCTCCGCGAGCACACGGAAGTAAGCGCCAGCATCTGGTGTTCCCACAGGCTTCCCCTGCAATGAGATTTATTTAAAATGTCACCGGGTAAAATGTCTCATATTTCACTGACAGTTCAATACTTACACATTTAACACAGCAATCTTAACAAGGGTAGGTTCTCAACAAGTCTTAGTTCTTAAATATTCCCATGTTAGGTCTCAAATCTCAGTTCTTAAATATTCTTAAATCTTAGTTCTTAAATATTCTTAAATCTTAGTTCTTAGATATTCTGATGTTATATTTGTAGGTTCTCAACAAATTTTTGTTCTTAAATAACCAAATACCCAGGCATCAGATATTTCATTCTTCATTGTACCCTAAAAGCTTTTGTTTCTTTTGAAAGATAACAAAACAGAAGTACATGTTACATTCAGACTAAGAACAGAAAATATTAATTTGCCAAGAAATTAAACATATGAGCCAAGTGTGAGGGCACATGCCTGTAAACTCAGCACTCAAGAGGCTGAGGCAGGAGAGCTGCAGTGAATTCAAGGCCAGCCTATGCTGCATAGTGAGTTCAAGGCCAGTTTGAACTACATAGTGAGACCTTGTTTCAAAATAAATCAATGAGTAAATAAATAAATAAATAAATAATAAATAAAATTGCTCTGTGTGGTACAGTAAATGAAAAAATATGATTCTTCTGACATGAGCCTGGGCTTTTTTTTTCATGCTCACTATTACATGTGACAATAGCAATTCTCAACTATTTGAGAAAAGATGAAAATCTGAAATCACAGTGATTTCAGAGCAAAATTTCTTTTCAGTCAAATATCTTAGTTCAGGCAAAATGAATTTTATGCATTGAAGAAAATCCCATAACATACAACAAAATGTATGTTTCCCATAGCCTCAAAATGCCATTGCACGTGTTCAACCAAAAACTCATGTTTTTTGACAAATCATACAATTTTAAAAACAAATAAATTACTTGAAATTTCTACAGATAAGGAAAAGAGCAAGTTGTAAATATAAATCTAATTCTGTGAACATTCTAAGTGACTCATAAAATCTGTCTTGACCTGCTGTACCCCTTCATTCTGCAATTCACTCCCATCGTTGCTGTGTTTCTGAAGTAAACACCTGAAATGTTAGTATATACATGCTTCATGGGAAACTCCTTTTGTGCATGTTGATATAAAGAAGAGGAAAACAATTTCTTAGATTATTTCTGAATATTTTAAAGTATTAAAGTATGCAACAAATTTCCAAGAGATGAGTAGCTGTATGTAATATTCTCTGAACTTCTCAGACCAAATTCCCCATCTGAGCTTCCCATGGATCTGGAAAACACATAGGAAACACTGAACTAGGGCAAAAAGAGAAAGGAGTTTGCTATTAGCAAATGCAGAGATCTTTTCACAAAGACAGCAATCAAGGAACCAAGAAAAATATGAAGTAGAACATAGATGACCTATAATTTAGATTCAATACCTATTTGTAATTGGATATTTGATAGGCCCTATTTAGTTTTTTGTTTTATTTTTAAATGACTGTCCTTAATATTCTTCAGTGTAATTATGTTCCTACTCTTTAAAAAATAACATCTTTCAATTTTTTTAATATTCAAGCCTTCTCTTTTGTTCTTTCAATATCAAAATAGTTTTTGTTGCAACTGAAAATTCATTTATATTATCACACTGTCTGAAAGTACTTGATCTCAATTGATTTCCCTGCTATTTCCTACAGGTCAACAAATTCAAATAGCATAAAATATTACCAGTTTCAATACAGCAACATATGTATATAATTTCACTCACAAATTTTGAAGCCTTCAACACATGTCAGAAATGATTCAGCAACTTTATTCTTTCTAACAACATGAGGTGCACATTTGACTTTTGCTTCCTTGCTGTGTCTGAGGCAGCAGTGAGTCCCCTGAGTACTACACTGTGCCTTAAGAAACTTGATCTCACTCATACAAAAAATGGTTTATTGAAAAGCTTCATGCAATAGACTTGTGCTGCCTGTATTTCCATTTTTTTCCTACTAAATAAGAATAAATCACTTTGCCAATATTGAGTGGATAAACTAACAGCATTCAGATAATATTTCAAATTAGTTTGACCACCACTGAAGAAAGATGTTTTGCATCCAACTGAAGTTGTATTCTATACAGTGCTAATGCCATGATATTACAGACAGGTAAGCTGTGCAGAAACATTATAGGCAGTCAGATAGGGCTAGGCCAAAGAGAAAGCCAGGATAATGGTGAAATGCCGTTGTGGCCGGAGACATCTGTTGGAGACCAGGCCTCAAGATAAAGATGAGACAACCCACCTTGTATACTCACAGAACATGCACCAGGCCTAATGAGACCTAGATAGATATCAGTCACACTGGTGGGTGACCAAGACCTCCAGACCTATCCTTTCCAATTTTAGCATATGTGCTGCTAAAGCAAACGGTATCCATAATTTCCTAGGAGTCTTTGTATTTTCCATGCACCCTTGTTTAATGACTTTTATCCCCACTGGATCACTATTACATAAGTGACTATAGCCCTTATTGGTTAATCGTAGGTGTAATCCACATCACATCCATGTGGGGATTGCTCTATGGCATTTCCCTGAGAAGTGGGGTCCTTAGCAACCCATTTAAGGGTCCCTCCTGACTCTTGGGATCTATCTCTCTCTCTCTCATTAAATATTTCCTACTCTTAACCTCCATTGTTCTTAGAATTCATTCTTTGATTTTTAGAGAACACAACGTATCAAACATCTAACAGTTTGGGAGATACAATGTTTTCATATATATCTCCTGTGTCATCCTGTAACAGTGGGACAATAACAGTAAAGGCTGATAAAAGTGTCATAATGAAAGTGCAATGCCATGAACATCTATCTACATGAAAGATGCAATCTGATGTCTTTTGCAAGCTTTCAATTCACTATATTTAATGGTAACGTAAATGATAGATAAAGTACTAGAAATGTTATTTTAAAATTATGGCATACCTTTTATAAGATTTTAACTGACCCATCCCCAAATAAATTTCCACCTAAATTATTGAACATAAAAATCATAACCCAGAATTACTATTAGGGCACTAAGGAAGTGGGCACAAAGTCACATAATGTTCCTTTGTAAGACTGCTGAACTCAGAAAAGTTCAAGATTTTTTGCATTTTATCATTAATTTCCAAAGACATAATTTAACATCACAAGTAAAGAATTTTCCTATTTTAAAATTACTTTAATGTTTATATATTTTATTTTTTCATCTTCTTAAAAACTTTTCTTTAATGTCAAACATAATTAAATAAAAATTACAATATCAAAGAAATTATATTTTCCAAAAAATTTCCTGTTGATTAACAAATATTAAGTCTGAATGACATAAACACTTTAGGTAATATGAAGCAGATTAGAACAGTATGTTTCATCAGAAACCATTGATCACACACAGAAAAGTTATAATAAGTAGTGTTGGTATAGTCATTCATTTAGCAAATATTTATTCCATAGGTAAATGTGTGCTAGATATTATTTTAAATTCTTGAAATAATTTTGTGAATAAACCACCTAAATTCCTACCATAATGGAACTTACATTCTGGCAACTAAGGGTGTGTGCGTGCATGTATGTGTGTGTGTGTGTGTTATGAAAAATTACACAGCAGATGCCACAAGCTATTTATGTCTAATGAAGAGACAGAACACAGTAACAAACATAGGATGGCATTTTCTCATACCATCACTAATAGTTTCAGAAAATGTAAACATAGCCTCTGGGCAGCTTTCATTATGGACACTAAATACAAGGGACTCCATGATTTATTGACATTATTGAGCACTTTCTCTTCCACTCCCCTTTCAGGCATCCACACAGGCAAGCATGCACAATTAACAATATAATCTCTTTAGGGTGCTCTTGAAAATAACTAATAATACACTGATCTTGCACTTTTACCTGAAGAGAAAATGACATTGATTCCAGAACTTGCATTTTCAATAAGGGGCACTAGCCCAAACCATATTCAATTTAAAAATAAGATTTTGAGATTGAGGGGATTTTATAGAAAAAGCATACCAACAACAGCAATGAAGGAGAAGATACCAAAGTAAAATACCTTCAAATTTAAATCATTGCCATTTGAGGTCATCATTTGCTTTCTGAATTCCCTTTCCCAAAGCTAAAGTCTATTTTATTGGTTACTACCTATGTAGCATAGGCCAAAAGTGGTATCTACCATGATGAAGCAGAGATTCTAAGCCTCAGCTGTTACAAGTCATGAAATTTTAACATCAAAGTTTTAAAAGCTATATGAACTGCTAATATCATCTGGATTTATAATGTGGTTCATGACTACAAAGTACAGAACCAAGACAGTTATAAGATGCCTTAAAATTAACTCCTACGTATAATTTTCTGCCGCTTAAGGCACAGTAAGTTATTGTTAATGGATGATAAGTCCTTGACTAAAAAAATCAAGTAACATCTCAATGTTTCACATATTTCCTACTGATGTGAAGTTTTCAACATAGGAAAGTAGTGAAATACAAGCCCTCAGCAAAAGAAAGGAATACTTAAACGTTCAAGTTAAATCTGTGAGCAGATAATTAGTTGCTTTACTATTAATGCCATAATTTAGCTTATGCAAAGCGGGAGGTCAGTGCTACTTGGAGCCCTTCAGACTCAGACATAAAATATTTTTCAGTCAGCCACAGTTTTTGCCTTTGTGTGCACACATGTCAAAATTAGAAATACATCTGGTCTCTCTTTTGAACACTACTTTTGCGAATGTCACCCAAGGCATGCTTCTCCGGCAGTTCTGAGGGGAAGACAGCAGAATCCCTATCGAGTAGCACTGAATTTCATTTCAGCAGACAGGTGCTGCCGAGCGTGGGCTTGTTTATTTTGGAATACTGATGGCATGGGCAATAGCATTTGCTGAGTTCCTCCTGGGTGTTACGTGTTCTGATCAAGGCATGGGTGTTTGGTTTGCAGCGTTTAGACTGAAGACATATAAAACATTAACAATTCCCTAAGACATACTATGTAGTTACAGAACC